TTAATGACTCTGCCCCACCACTCATTGAACTGATATCACTCTATGTTCCATCTTGCTCTAATCTGCCTTCGGTAAACCAACTCCGTGTATTTAAAAACTCCTTGGGTGAGAGATCCTTCATGGTTGCTACGGCCAGAGTCTGGAATACACGTCCAGATCAAGGCTTCACCCTTCACACACAAATTTAAAACTAATCTTAAAACCTTCTATTTGGAAACATATTTTACATAATTTCCTAACTTTTTACACTTACCTTACTTGGGTCAGCGTCGCTGCCTCGGTGGTGCACGGTAGCGGAGCCTGAGGCACAGGCCAAAGGTGGAAACTATTGGAGCCCAGCATACCACCTTGTGTAGAGTATCTGCGAATACATGGCTACATAGAGAGAGTGACGCTGACCCAAATACGGCTCATGTAATTTAATTGATTCTGGTCCTTAAACTTTATTGTTTCTTTTGTTGGTCATATTTTTGACTTCTTGTGGAGGGGCGCCATGTGCATTTTCTTTAAACGGATACTGGCTCTTTAAAAAGTTTTCATTATTATTATTGTGATTATTAAGAGAAGATGCTGCACATATTTCAAACTTTATTCATTTACCAACTACATATAATTCATATCAAGAATTTAAGGAAGAATTCATGAATACACTGACACAATTTTTAGCTTTTGATATTTTTTATAAATAAATTAATTGATTTTAATAAACTTTTGAACTTTTAATAGTTCTATATATTTGACTTTGTTTCTTTGACAAAATAAAAAAATTTTTGTATTGTAAAAAATTTGTATTGTATTTTATTGTATTGTTTAGGATGAGTATTATGGTTTCGGAAGGGGAGGGGGGAGTGCCCCTAATGTCACCAGTCTTCATCCCTCACCCACTGACCAGTGGTTTCAAACAATTACTTTTCTTAATACAATAATAGGGGATTAACGTCGCATTCTTTACCCCTCACTCACTGACTAGTTGTTATGTGAGGGGGATCTAGCTCAAAAATAAAGTGATTAAAGTAATTCCCCCCCCCCCCCACCGTGATTGGAGGGGGGAGGAGAGAGACTGGGTGGGACCTCAGCTGGGTGAGGCCCCTACTGGGGTGCAAGTATTTTTGGGGTGTTGTCTATGGTAAAGACAAAATCTAGCAACCATGAGGAACATTATATTTAAATATCATGAATAATCAATTACCAGATCCGGGAAGCGTGACGGCGGTATGAGTCGTGTCTAGCGAATCCCAGCGAGCGTTAGAATGAGTGGAAGTCCAGCTTGTGAACCATGTTTCGGAGTGAGTGAGATGTGATTGCATCTTGATACGTCATTGCAGCTTGTTGTAGGGCCTAAGTTATGAAGTGTAATTGTAGTCAATAAATGTTCGCTGGAGTCTGTGAAATCTCATGGACTCTCGTAAATTTTGAATTTCATTTTTATTATTTAATTATTGTTCAATGTAATATGATGAAGCAATTTCTTGTAGTGGAACGTTTGTTTTACCAAGACCAAACAGGTCTGTATGCCTACAGTATACAGTAATAATAATAATTGATTAGGAACTACACTTTTCAATCAGTGGCACATACACTTCTCAATAGAAGGTGCGTCCAAAACAATCCAGCAAAGTTCACAAAATACTTAAGCTAAGAAAAAAACAACTCAAATTTCAAAATGGGACATCAAGGTAAAGTAAAAAAAGAGAAAATGTTAAGTCATGTAAAAACTTAAATGTAATCTTAAACTAAAAACAGTTTTTACATAACATAACAGTATTATGTTATCGTCTTCTGTCGGTTTAAGTCATTGACGGGGACAATAGGAAGCTTTCGATTTGTGCGACGACGCGACGCTAGAACGTAATCACTCATGTGTGACCGTTCTATCTGGCGCCCTACGTTCTCTGCATACGTAGATTTGACAAATTGCATTCCATGTGCCAATGACTTTTAGTGACTTCATTACGTTCTACAGTGTACGTCCTACCATCGTCGTGCAATCGAAATCTCAATATTGATTGTTAAAATACTCCTGAAAGTTGTAGTGGTCGTGTAGACTAAGCATGAAATCAAGAGTGACTATTTTGAGAACGAATTATAGTTTTTATTTTATAGTTTATAAAACGAAACCACCCCTCCCCCCCACCCACCACCCCCACCCACTGCAGTGCCTCCACTGGCCGGTCCACCCTTGCAGAAACAGATTCTGCTATATATACTAAGTGTTTTTTTTTTAGGAAAGTCAAACTTCTGCGAGGGCCGGCCGAGGTTCTTATGCAGACATAAAATATTAGACCCGACACACTATAGCCTAATTGTAAAGTTGTGAATAGAAGCAAAGAAAACAGAGATCGATGTACAGTCTCATATCATATTGTGAAACTCCGAAAAAAAAGTTAGTACATGTCAACGTGATTCAATATTTTAACTTGATTTGTTCAACTGCAAAGCACCACAATATAAAATTCTTCTTTTTTGTAATAAGTCTTTGGTTTGGGAACATATACATTTGTTTTACTTTTACGAAAGTCATAGCTGTAATCATTTAAAGAGAACAGGTATGTTAAGTAAGATGGTGCCATATTATTTAAAATTTTATAAACAAGAAAATTACAATCATTATGTTTACCTGATAGTGGAAGACAGTTTAAATTACTAAGTATATTTGCACTAGGTGTTTTCCAGGCTGATGATGTAAAATGAATACCATGATAATATTGGTGATGATTTAATGATAATTTGAATATATTTTTATTACTATTTTCTTGTTCTTTTTAAAATAATTAAATAGATTCACTTACAGTTCTTGTTGGCTTGATGCCAAGTTTTTTAGGAGGCAGTAGTAATACTTGCTTGATCAAGATGTGTATAAGAGACAGGAGTGGAAGTCCAGCTTGTGAACCATGTTTCGGAGTGAGTGAGATGTGATTGCATCTTGATACGTCATTGCAGCTTGTTGTAGGGCCTAAGTTATGAAGTGTAATTGTAGTCAATAAATGTTCGCTGGAGTCTGTGAAATCTCATGGACTCTCGTAAATTTTGAATTTCATTTTTATTATTTAATTATTGTTCAATGTAATATGATGAAGCAATTTCTTGTAGTGGAACGTTTGTTTTACCAAGACCAAACAGGTCTGTATGCCTACAGTATACAGTAATAATAATAATTGATTAGGAACTACACTTTTCAATCAGTGGCACATACACTTCTCAATAGAAGGTGTGTCCCAAAACAATCCAGTAAAGTTCACAAAATACTTAAGCTAAGAAAAAAACAACTCAAATTTCAAAATGGGACATCAAGGTAAAGTAAAAAAAGAGAAAATGTTAAGTCATGTAAAAACTTAAATGTAATCTTAAACTAAAAACTTCAGTTTTTACATAACATAACAGTATTATGTTATCGTCTTCTGTCGGTTTAAGTCATTGACAGGGGACAATAGGAAGCTTTCGATTTGTGCGATGACGCGACGCTAGAACGGAATCACTCATGCGTGACCGTTCTATCTGGCGTCTTACGTTCTCTGCATACGTAGATTTGGCCAAATTGCGTTCCAGAATCTACTCGACGAGTTGATCTTAACGTTCTCACATGTGCCAATGACTTTTAGTGACTTCATTACGTTCTACGTCCTACCGTCGTCGTGCAATCGAAAGCTCAATATTGATTGTTAAAAATACTCCTGAAAGTTGTAGTGGACACCTAGCATGAAATCAAGAGTCTGACTATTTTGAGAACGAATTATAGTTTTTATTTTATAGTTTATAAAACGAAACCACCCCCACCCACTGCAGTGCCTCCACTGGCCGGTCCACCCTTGCAGAAACAGATTCTGCTATATATACTAAGTGTTTTTTTTTTGGAAAGTCAAACTTCTGCGAGGGCCGGCCGAGGTTCTTATGCAGATCCGACACACTATAGCCTAATTGTAAAGTTGTGAATAGAAGCAAAGAAAACAGAGATCGATGTACTGTCTCATATCATATTGTGAAACTCCGAAAAAAAGTTAGTACATGTCAACGTGATTCAATATTTCAACTTGATTTGTTCAACTGCAGAATTCATACTCTCTTATCTTTTAGCAAGATTCTTAATTAGCTTGCCACCATCGGACAAGAAAAGGCACGATTAGGAACAGTTTGTTGCTTCACAAAGATTGCTGGTTTATGCACGCCTGTAACACGAAAGGTTCTTCAACATTGTTTTATTTTATAAAATAAATTCTAGTGATGCTTTAAATATAATAGGCCTATATTACGGACAAAAATGTCGATTTAAACAGGACTGTAAAAGCGAAGGACTCCAGAATAACCTTAAATTTGAGGTACAGTATGTGTAGCAGTAAGACTTAAGACAAACGATATGTGAAGGGTATGCAAACGAATGAGACCTTAAGGGGAGTAATATCCCTACCACATGATGTTTGTTGATGTTTTTTAGTTAAAGATAGTATGGTTTGTATTTCTTAAACTCAGTGTATTTTGTAAGCGTACAAGAGTCGATTAAAGCCACTGAGTAGTAGTAGTAGTTGTAGTAGTAGTAGTTGTAGTAGTAGTAGTAGTAGTAGTAGTAGTAGTAATAGTAGTAGTAGTAGTGAAGTACCACTTTATTTAGTCATGAAGCACAAATCCACAAATACAATGCTGTTTTTCATTAAAAGCACCACAATATAAAATTCTTCTTTTTTGTAATAAGTCTTTGGTTTGGGAACATATACATTTGTTTTACTTTTACGAAAGTCATAGCTGTAATCATTTAAAGAGAACAGGTATGTTAAGTAAGATGGTGCCATATTATTTAAAATTTTATAAACAAGAAAATTACAATCATTATGTTTACCTGATAGTGGAAGACAGTTTAAATTACTAAGTATATTTGCACTAGGTGTTTTCCAGGCTGATGATGTAAAATGAATACCATGATAATATTGGTGATGATTTAATGATAATTTGAATATATTTTTATTACTATTTTCTTGTTCTTTTTAAAATAATTAAATAGATTCACTTACAGTTCTTGTTGGCTTGATGCCAAGTTTTTTAGGAGGCAGTAGTAATACTTGCTTGATCATTATTACATTCATCTGTTGAAAGCAAAACATTCAAAATTAATAACAGTTGACATACTTAGTATCTACAATTTGGGAAAAGGAAATTCAGAGAGAAGGTTCAAATCTCCAACCTCAAGGCAGGGGCAGAGATGTTGGGGGGGGGGGAGCGCACGGGAGAGCACAGGCCCTCGTGGTTCCTTACTGGATCTGCCCCTGCTGCAAGGATGAGACAGCAATACAATCCCTGCACACACCGCTCCCGCTACATATACGGCAGTTGTGAAGCTTCACTGCATTTGGGGTCTCTCAAACTTGGAGGTTAGAACCCTTGTTGTGCATTTCAAGGCACTTTACCTATGGCTGTCTCTCCACCCAGAAGTATAAATGTGTAACTGGTAGGATGAAGTGGCATTAAATTTTTTGGTCTCTGTGCTACCTGAACGCACTTTGTACTATATAAATTGAAACATTATTAATTATTAATATCTTATAGTTTCACTTACCTTTGAAATGGGTATAAATACAACCAGGAAACCTGTGATAATAATAGTAACGAGATGAACAAGAACAAGAATTGGAAATCCCAACACAGCCCATATGATGAAGGACAGCTTCTAAAAAAAACAAACAAACACATACACATTTCTTCAAAATTAAATTGTTTTAATAGTTTTTTCCATAAAAAAATTACAAAAAAATAAATAATATTTATTTAATAAAATTTAAAAAATATATAAAAAGAACAAAGATAGATAAAAAAATGTAAAAAATAATAATTAATAAAAAAAAAATTAAAAAATGATAATGATGAATAAAAATAAACCATAATAATTAATAAACGAACAATTAAATCAACAAAATAAAAAATTTAAATAGAGAAATATACAACTACATAACATAGTTCTATCATGAAATTCGCGAGTATGCATTTGAGTATGCATTTGACAAGAAAGCAGGCACCCTCTAACATGAATCCCACTTCATTTTATGAGAGTATTACCCCCTGAACATTTCACCTACCATCTTTTATTTATTATTAAACAGATGGAGTAAAACAAAATAAATATTTGTGGTGCATTATAACTTGATATATCAAAGGTACAAACAACTTTGTTTAACTGCCAGGAGTAGGCCCTAACTTTCCTTTTAAATAAAAGTTAGGTATGGAGAAACACCTAAACCATAAAAAAAATACAATGTACAATATACTTTCTTCTCCTACTGCCAAAACAAGGTACTGTATATTGCAAAACATACACTACACATAAACAAACATCAAAAATACACTTAGGACTACACTAAAAATAAATCAATGAGGAAGCCATCTATATATGTTTAAAAACCGTGTTGTATTTATTAATAGAATCAGGAACAAAAATGCCAGGAGTGACACCGTGAAGAGCGTGGGACACATAGTCGAATACCTAAATGACTGTGTTTAAAATTACAGTGGAAAATAGATAATGTTTTTTAGATAAACACACATTGTACTCATGGGTGATTAGAATGCAAGACTTCCTGACTATAGTTTGGATGCTCTATACTGACCTATTAGTGGTGACACTCCCAGTTTTAAAATATTCAAAAAAATATATATATATATCGTTATCATTTTCGTCAAATATGTTTTTTGTGTAAACAGTACAACATGTCAAAGTTTTTCCTCCACAGCCTGGCTTTAAAGGCCAAGAAAATCTACCAGTACACTGTAGTGCATAAGAAAGACATAAATGAAAAAAAGCCAGCCATAGCTAAGGCCAAAAAAAAAAAAAAAAAAAAAAAAAAAAACTAAGGCCAAAAAAAAAAAAAAAAAAAAAAAAAAATTCTTACGTTGGCCACGTTTTATGAAAATTGGTAGGTTGGAAGGAAAACTTTTTTGGTATAACAAAAATAAACAACATAATAATGCAAGCAGATATTACATGAAATACTGCTTACCAAATAACAGGTGGAGTCTGATGACTTTGATATCCCTCTAGTAATAGCAATTGGAATTGTCTCATCTTCAAGAATCGGAGTATCTACTTCTTCTTTGGAGGAATTGCTGCCCAGTACCTCCTCTTCACTTTTCTATTTTAAGAAGATTAAAAAAGGAGTTTCAAATCACTTTCATCACTATAAAATGTTATATATTCATATAGTTATATATTTCATATACAGGACAAATCAGATAAAATATACAACAAAAAATGATGTCTATTGTAGGAGCGCAGGTGCAGCGTATAAAGTGTTTGATCATGAGATCGGGAGTTCGAGACCGACGTATGTCGCATTGCTTGTGTCCAATTAGGCAAGGAACGTTACTTACGTTTGCCTCTCTCCAACCAGGAATATAAATGGGTACCTGGTAGGATGAGGTGGCATTGCAAGTATTAGTCTGTGTCTTAGCATAGACAGTTCTAAAGTTTTGTTTATAAATTATAAAGAAATTTTGCAACAAAAGCCATGCAAATATAAATTCAAAACAGTTTTTATGCCCATCCCTGATGTATACTGCTGATTTACATGTTATAACATGTTTTCAGGTTAAGTAATTAATTTTTCATTGTATTTAGTGAAGTGTTTTGTTGTAATATGGATGCACCACCAGATGGTGTGTGCCACTGAAACAAAATTGCTTCCAATAAAGTTCAAAGTTCAATAATTATTTACCTTTTGAACAAATTTTCCAAATGGCCACAGCAGATACCAAGCCAACCTTAAACAAAAAAAGCCTAAGAAATAGAACGGTATACAATGTTTAAAAAAAAATCTTAAACATGATTATATATGACAAAATAATAATGGTAAAATATATTTATAAATATACAGTATATATATACAATGATTTATGTAAAAATATATACGAAATATAATTCAGCACAATATAAATAAGGAATTTTTGGTATACCCCGACAAACATGTGCGCACAGTCATTTGACTGGAGACATTACGAGAGTGGTATATTTTAGATGATATTTAGGATCCTAATTTTCCCTAAAAAATTGTTTTGCTTTTCCATCTCATCTTACAAACATACACAAAAACACCCAGAGACATGCTCCTGTGCTGCGACCCCACAAATCCATATGTATATTTCTTTATATACAATTATGAAATACTTCCTGTTGTGTTAAAGCATGTACACACCTGATATGATACAGTATAAATAATAATCAATAAATAACATCCTCTTTAACATAATTCAGGAAATCGTTTGCCAATATTCAATTCACATATTAAACTCAACATTCTTCATTACTAAACCTAAGTTAATGAAAATATTATGATATATACAAGGAAGTAATAATAAACAAGTATTATAAAAAAATTCCTGCAATAATTTGAGTAAAGACACTCTGTCCCTAAATATATACAAAAAAGGCTATGTTCAAACACGGCAATTAACTGTTAGCAGAATCAGGATTACAAACGTATGTACGCACACACCTGGCGTTCATGCAAGAAAATCCCTGATCCAGATACCAAGAAGACGATCGGATCACTGAAACTTGGAAATGCGTACATGTGATTGGTTAATCATTAGCGTATCCGGATCCTGGTAATGGTTAGCGCAAACCAATCAGGCGTTCTCCCACAGGTGCTAACAGGTTGTACAGCTCTCGTGTATATCTGACCTTAGTTAATAAATGGCAAAGGGCGCTCACAATTAAATAGCTAAAGCTTCTAGTAAAATATCAGATGTGTATAAGAGACAGATATATGACAAAATAATAATGGTAAAATATATTTATAAATATACAGTATATATATACAATGATTTATGTAAAAATATATACGAAATATAATTCAGCACAATATAAAAAAGGAATTTTTGGTATACCCCGACAAACATGTGCGCAGTGTCATTTGACTGGTGACATTACGAGAGTGGCATATTTTAGATGATATTTGGGATCCTAATTTTCCCTAAAAAATTGTTTTGCTTTCCCATCTCATCTTACAAACATACACACAAGCACCCAGAGACATGCTCCTGTGCTGCAACCCCCACAGTGAAGTAAAATTCAGTTGTAAAATTGAGATTGTCAACTTTAATCATAATGTTTTATGTTGGTTTGATCATGTAATAAATAATATTTACTTCTTATGCAGCTCATCCTCTCTAGGCCTCTATGCAGGGGGGAGGGCTTAACCAGGAACCGTCCGGCTGACTTTTGGATGGCCAACAATTATTTAGGACAGCCACGTTTATCATGATGGCTTGGACGGCTTGTCCTACTATGCTCAGCCTAGTCTAATTGGCCTGGTCTACTTTAGCAAATTCTTTATATTCTTCATATCTATCAAATGTTGCATTAAACTAAAGCATATTTTGTTTTTCTGGCTAAACCCCTGATGCGGGGTCTTAAGTCTCTTGCAAGTAGCAGTTGTGGGTATAGCTATGGAGGATTACAGTGCGATCAGTGTGACAGTATAGAAAAATGTAATGTTATGGTTGCAAAAACATCCGCCCATTGTTACATTTCTTTAAAAATCTCAATGTTTGGCCCATTATTTCAAAATTCTCAAGTTCAATTTCCAATCAATTTTGTATAGTTTACTGGCATTCCAACCAACATTATTCAACATCAAATTATGTGCTTTACAGCAGACACACTATGAAGAAACCATGCGTTTTCCTATCACACACTAACGCTTCCACAGGACCGTAACCTGGGAGTTTTGCTGAACCCTCTTTTTGTTCAGTTTACTACTGTAGTAGTATTTCATCATAACTTATTAACTTATCGGACAACTTCTGAGTTAAATTTGGCCGATAGGAAACCAACCCCTCTTCCCATGAACCTGGTTACGGGCCTATTCAACATACAATTCCAAGTAAAAAAATACCTACAGTAGATGGATGCTAGTACAGGTTACTATCTGGGTATTATAATTTTATGATGCATTGTGTGAAGCTGTGAAGTATTGACAGGTTACTGTCTAGATTGGTTCTACTGGTAGCCACAACCATTTTAGTAGACAAACATCTGTTGGTATTTTTTTCTATATGCTTTTACCTAAAAGCACTATGGAAAGTCTTAAGCAAAGTGTTACTTTTCATTTTTTTATTTATTTAATTTGTAATTTTAAAAATAAAAATGTACACATTATGATAAGATAAAAATTGTTTAATCTTTTGGATGTCATATGTTCACAAAAATACTTTTATTTAATATAAAATATTTATTATCATTATTATTATTATTATCATTATTATTATTATTTTATCGTATATTACATCTTATTATACCTATTGTCCTACCTACATTAAGAAGAACTCAGTAAAAACTAATTATTTATTTAAATGTGTAAGAGACCAGTAGGATATCCTATCAGCATAATTGTGAAACAAATTTTATTGCAGAATAACCATCCACTTAATGCCAAATACAATTACTTGCCCTCCAATTCACATCTTCGAAATGCCATACATCATCAGAAGAAACAATTATTGAAAACAAAATGAATTAAAGAAAACAACAAAACCATAGTATCTTAACTACCAGTGAAACTATCCCCCGCCGGACACCAACCCGGTATTTCTAAGTTTCGGGGATGAACATGAATGAAATCAGAAATTATTAAGAAGACTTTGCTTGAAAATATTTTATTTTTTTATTTTTATTTCAACAATCTTTAATGAGGATGGTCCATCCAGCCGAAGCTGATCATTAGGGACCCTCAATACACATAGTAAAACAAAACAAAAGAGCGTATTAAACTAAATTACAGTAAAATAAATAACAACCTCTCAATTCAAAATTTACATAAAGAATTAATTCAAAATTAAATAAAAAACTTAATATAAAAATTAAAATTAAATTACAATTAAAGATGTGAATGAAAGAGCAATATTAAAAAACAATAGGCAAAAGGGACATTAAAACAACAAAGGGAATAAAGTAGCCTGAATAAAATAATCAAATAAATTAAAAATAGATAATAGGCCAATGTATATGAGAACTATAATCAAATCACTCTTAATTTAAAGAAAATAAATCAATTTAAATTAATAAATAAAACAAAAAATAAATAATAAGGTAGAAATCAAAAAATGAATTCTCAGTGCAAATTCAAAACATGATTAAAAAAAATGCCAAAGAAACAGAATTACAGGAGAGAAAGAAGGAGGTAACTTTTGAGGGACGATTTAAAGGAGGAGTAAGTAGAAGCATTGCGGATATCTAAGGGAAGAGAGTTAAAGAAAGAGGGGGAATTAAAGCTAAATGAAAGTTTGAAAAGTTCAAAGTGGGGTCTGGGGATATGTAAGTCCCCTTTAGTGATCTGCCGAGTGTTCATGCGGCCATTTGCAGTTATTTTTGTGAGACACTGACAAATTGTTTGGGGAGCAAGATTGTGTAGAGCTTTAAAAGTTAAACAGTTGATATCGATATCTGTCATGGAAAGGAAGGGTCTTAGCACAAGAGAAGTGGAAAGAAGTTAAATGAGTAGTAGGAGGAAGATTAAGTAGGATGCGTATAGCTTTATTTTGAATTTTTTGAAGTTTAATGGTAGTAGTGGGTTTGGAACCCAGACGGATCAGCAGTAGTCGAGTCTAGATAGAAACAACAAATTGTACAAGAGGTGGAGAAGAATTATTAGTGAATTTAGAGGTGCGTGCAAGTAGGTAGGTGATGGAGTTGAGTTTTTTACAAAGTGAGGAAATATGAGATTTCCAGGTTAGGGTGTTGTCGATGGTCACTCCAAGGTGTTTGTGAGAGGTTACAGATTGGATAGGAGTGTCATCTAAAAGAAGGTTGATTGAATGATTAACTTTTAGCTTATTAGAAGAACTTATTAGCATAGATTTAGTTTTGTTAACATTGAGTGTTAGCTTGTTAGATTTGAACCAGGTAGAGAGTAATTGGAGAGTAGCATTAAGCTTTTGTTCAATAAGCTGTGAAGAGGGGTTAGTGAAGTAGACGATGGTGTCATCAATCATATGTAGATTTCAATCATATGTAGATTGGAAGAATATTTAAGTTTATCAGAAAGGTCAATCCATATGTATATTTCTTTATATACAATTATGAAATACTTCCTGTTGTGTTAAAGCATGTACACACCTGATATGATACAGTATAAATAATAATCAATAAATAACATCCTCTTTAACATAATTCAGGAAATCGTTTGCCAATATTCAATTCACATATTAAACTCAACATTCTTCATTACTAAACCTAAGTTAATGAAAATATTATGATATATACAAGGAAGTAATAATAAACAAGTATTATAAAAAAATTCCTGCAATAATTTGAGTAAAGACACTCTGTCCCTAAATATATACAAAAAAGGCTACAACATAGCTTCTGTCTCTTATACACATCTTAATATTTCATAATACTGTACCAAATGTTTATATTTTTGTGTATGATTAAAGCATCTTGTTCCTATTTGAGCATTGATATTATATTAATTATCCATATTTTTATATTGTGTTTATGGTGCTGCGCAGAAAAACTAATGTGTATGATTATGTAAATTATCAAAATTTTATACTGCACTGCATTTGTTTTTTCTCATATTTGTTCTTGCTTGTTCCTTAGGGTTTCTATTCTTGTAAATTTTAGTATTTTTGGGACAAATAAATGAAATGAAATAGTGTATTTTTAAATACACTATATTAACATCTTTAAAAGCTATTATGCGTACAAGAAAAGAAACCGTCACTTTTAAACACAGTGTAACAATAAAGTCTATCCATCTCTTATACTACTGTACAATTAGTATTATACCATTCTCTGTATAAATATAACATATTATTATATTTATATAACATCAGACTAAACAATTATTCAGTACTTAATTAATAAAAGAACTGAATTAAACTTGCCATAATCGCTGCCAATGATTGTTACGAACATTAGAAGGCCCACGAGTACGTAGATGAGCGAGATCCACCAACCAAACAAAATGACGTACAGTACATTTCCAACACCAAGTGTACCTACAAATACAGAAACATCTTAAATCACAATGTTATATATTTTAATAATTAATATACAGTAAAGCCATTTATTTTCGCGATTTTACAATTTGAAACATTTTTCGGCCTTGAAATTTGACGATTTTCCAGTCGCTTTATAACATGATGCAGAAACCAAATTTGGTGGGTTGCTCCAGATTTTTCAAACAATCTCCTACACTCTCGACTTTTAGGCTAGCTAATATAGGCAAGCCTACTGCAGCTACTCCGGGGAAGGCTTGTACAAGGTTTTTTTCAAATCGAAATGTTAGAAATTCTTGAAACGTAGGCCTAAACAAAGTAGACTAAAATGTTTATCAAGAGTTATAATAGTAAAGTGCGATGTAATGGCCTAGCTAGCCAAGATAGCTAGATTACTTTGGAAGACAAAACTATCATTCAAATTTTCGATTTTCACACGTCTTTAATTTTTGCGATTGTCATCTTATCGCGAAACCAACAAAAATTTAGGGTGCGCGAAAATAAAGGGCTTCACAGTATACAGTACTATTTTGTTAAAGCTAAAAAACAATAAAATTAAATATATCAAATATCCAATTCAAATATTGAAGTCAACACTCAGAACGATGTGCAGTACATCCATTGGAAATAAATAAAACCAAAATGTTATCATTTTTACTGCCAAAAAAACCCCACACCATTTCAGAATTTTATGACCATCCCATGGAAGCAAACATACTAACAATTTGTTGTATTGTTTAAGGCTCCTCCCAGAATATATAGAAGGACAAACTACTAACAAGTAATATAATATCATGCAGACTCCAAAAACACTAAGAGAAGCTATGATTTAATATTTTGTTCTTTATTCGAACATCATCATTCCTGATGAGATGTTCAAATAAAGAACGAAATATTGAACCATGACTTCTCTTAGTCTTTTTGGAGTCTGCATGATATATTATCTAAATATAATCACTGGACCACTTGGTTTCTACTAAAAAATTGTTGTATTGTTTTAAGTTTCAAAAATCAAATATAACATGGAAGGCAACTTACTAACAAATGGTTAGATTTTTTTAGGTTCTTCTCGTAACCTATGCAAGGCCAAATTACTAAAATTGTTGTATTGTTTTAGGTTTCCAACATAGCTTATGGAAGGCAACTTACTAACAAATGGTTGGATTGTTTTAGGCTCCTCATACAACTTCCGGACTACTTCAGATCGCTGTTCTAGTGGACGTGCTGTTAAATGAGACTTCCATTTCTTGAAACCAAACTAGAAATAAAAAACATTTTCACACTAAAATTACAATTTAATTAATTTAATACTATCGTCTGAAAATTAGAATAGGAAAAATGTTCTTAAATAATATCTAAATAATGCAATGTCTGCAGTTTTGGGCCATCATAAGCTATAATATTTCTCCCAAGAACCCCCACCAAGGATTATATTCTGGGACCATGACCTAGGCTTTAGGTGGCTCCTTGGTTCTAACCCCATGTTGGACTTGTTGGTCCGCCTGTCGGCAAATTTCTGGAGGCTGCTGGTGTGTGTTACCGTTGGAAAGTGTTATCCTATAAAACCAAATCCGAAACTAGCCTTATTAGTAAGTGCTAGAATGAAAATGTAAGAGGGAAGAATGTAAGTAATAGATAACAGATAATAATGAGATAATGATTTTCTATTTTATTTTTTCTTCAATTGGTAGTGTTCTTGTGTTTATGGGTATTCTGTTTATTTTCTTTGTTTTTTTTTAAATTTTTAAAATTTTTTATCCTAACTGATAACAATCTATTTATTAAATTTTGGATATTTCGAATTTGCTTCTACTTGTGATTTAAATTTTGAAATAGAATTATATTTTTATAAATCTTCGTACATAATGATAAATTTTAATTATATGAATGAGTTTTTGACATTAAGAAATTGCCTTTCCTTTTGATTAGGATTTTTATAAAATTTTTGTAAATAGTAATTATGGATAATTGATAATTTTTGTATTTATAATATAAATAATAATAATAATATTCTTAATTCTAATCAGCTGGTTTTTTGTTTCTTTATCAAAGAATGTCTTTTTATTGTGCCTGTTTGTGTTTTATTTCTTACTCTGAATATTTTGTATTATTCAATCTGTTATACAATTGCAATAAAATGAGTTATGAGTTATGAAATGAAATATCAATGAGTACTTTACCGTAAAGTGCTCTAATAAGAGACGCAGAGCTTATAACATTTTTGGAGGCTTCAGCGAGCAGCCCTCATTAGCATATATTAATGTGGCAATTTTCACATGCACGTTCCCATGTTACCTATTTCACGAATTCCCTTAGTTCGGTATTAAACTACTATATCGTAAATGAATGTTTCGAAAGATGCAGTATGCTTGTATCTTCATTGTGTTATCTATTCATTTGAACACTCTATACATTGTATTTTAAAACCCTGTTTCTCAAAGTGTCTCATATAGGGTAAAATGTACGCTCAAGCTCTGTGGCGCTTATTAAAAATAGAATCTCACCGCTGCGCTTATTACGAGAGCGGCACTTGCGATTAAATCATATTTGGTGCGGTGCTTATTCGAGAGCGCGGCGCTTATTTGAGCATCTTCAGTATTATAATTACCATGGAATTTTGCTCCATTTTCTGTGCTTCAATTGCGTTCTCTGCTTCAACCATCACGAACCCATCCTCACTGATTCTGTCATTGGTATTTGAGCGCTCCCTGCTACCAAAACGCAGTCGTGGTCCCTGATTACTTTGAATCTCACATGGACCATTGTCATGATCAATTAAACAATGATCACCAGCACCTAAACAAATGGAGAAAATAAATTTTGACTAGAATACTGGTCAGCAGGGTCAAAAGAGGAAAGGTCATGGTTGGGGTCCTGGGAGAAAATCAGTACACTAAAAAAATTGGACAAATTTAGACCAATTCAAGAAGTTCCAAGATTTTAGTTTAAAAATAGTGTGCCTAAATTTTCAAAAAACTAATTTTCCTTTTTTTTTTTTTTTTTTTTTGGTCAAGTGGCTTAAACTGTCTGATGGTAGGGGATTAAGTCTGTTCCTATGAAATATATTAGTCAAACTTTCAGCCAGAAATAGACATTGGAGCTATGGTCTATTTAATAAATGTACTGGGGAGCAGCGACCCCTGTGAGTGGAAGCTGCCCTGATGAGATGCCTTGATGGTCCAGGTCCCGACCTGTGCCCCCTTTTGGATGACCTAGGTGTCACTAGTCCAGGAACATCACAGGACATGTCATCCATACGTACGAGAGCGTACTTCACTTACAGCGGTGATGAACAGCAGTAGCTTCAGTGCTTGAGAAAGAGATAGCATCTGAAACATTGCAGGTATGCAACTATTTGCTTCTGGTTATTCCAAAATCTAAGAAAATTCTTTAAAAAAAGGAAGTGGATATACGGTATTTACGTCGCCGTAAACAAATCAGTAAATGATATATTTACGTAAACGAAACAACGCGTGCGCAGTCATACTTTAATAAACTTGCATTTTCAGCACTGCGTGGCCTCCAAGCCGCGGGGATTCCCCCAAGTTCACCAAGGCACTGCTTAATTTATAATTTTGGTTTTTTTTAAATTTTTTATTAAACTAATTTAATTTTCTACAACAGCACATTATGTAGTTTAATCACTAAATAAGTTATTAAATCATTGTGTTAACTTTTCAAATAAAAGTAATATTATGAGCTGAAAATGTTATGTTCATTTTACTCAATCATTTGTTGAATGAACACACTTGACCTAAATACAAGGCCTAGGCAAGGTTTCCTTGATAAAACTTAATTACCACGAAATCAAGACGATATTTTTCTAGGCCTACCTGTATTGTTATACGATAGTCAATCATCGCAAATTAAATAACATCTTAATGTTTTCATTCAAACAAATTTGCCCACGTCGTCACTAACAAAAGCAACATCGTTATAGTCTTAGTCGGGTCGAGCAGAGTCCTGATCGATCGCGAAGAACATACAGGAAGACCACGTTTGGAGAGCACATGATTCACTCTACAAAGTACTGCGCTATGAAGCAAGAAGTAAGCGTGTGTTTTCTGTAAGATATTTAATCATTACGAAAAAGTGAGACCAGGGAGATGTAAAAAATACATAAAATACATCTCCCTGGTAAGACAAAACAAATATTTTTAATGTTTTATTCAAACATAATTTCCCATGTAGTCTGATCACTAACAAAAACAATATAAAGGAATAAAGAGCACTGCTCGACGTTGTGGTCATGATGATGTGAGAAAGTGTAACGAATACTTCTAGCTCATTATCACAATCATTCAATTATTTTATTTAATTGAAATACATAGGCTACTACTGTAGTCAATTTAAATCTGTTTAGTACTTAAAGAACGGTAAAATTATAATTTAAATGTTTACAAAAATTCATACAACCAATTTGGGGATTCACCATGTGCGTTGATTTGCTGTCGATTCGATCGTGTGTTGTTCAATGGCTTTTTAAAGAGTAGAAACCATTTGTTTCTACAAGAAAAATTGTTGTGTCAAGTTAATGTATTTTAACATGACTATAATAAACACTTCCAAGTTTGAAGATCTGATTTTCGTGCACCGTGGATTCACGGTACAGCATTCAGCAAAAGGCCGATGCTAATTTGGAGTCTGAAAGTTGAACTCCGCGTTAACGTATATTTAACGTGAATCGATAAATTTACGTGACCAATAATGCAAGTTTATTAAAGTATGACTGCGCATGCGTTGTTTCATTTACGTAAATATATCGTTTACTGATTTGTTTATGGCGACGTAAATATATCCACTTCCTTATTTATAACTTTCTCAAGCATGGCATACATAGAATATACTAATTTATTAAAAAAAAAAAAAGAAGAAGTTATATAGCTCCATGTTTCAAGAATGATATATTTATAATTTACTAGGCCTACCTGTTGTGGCTGGAGTTGGTCTATGCACCGGGAAATCTTGGTCTGTCGTTGTAGTAGTAGTAGGCCTGGGAATAATAGGAGTGGTAGACCTACCCACCGGTTCAGGTGTTTGATCACAGCTGAGGTCCATACTAAAAACACCGTCACTTTCTACTACTGTGCCCATGTGACAATAAGTTAATTACAATGAATGATAATGTTAGTAGTAACTTCTGTTCACCACTGCATGCTCTCTATTGTATCTTCTTCAACAACAAAACTGTTTTCTACTGCAACTGTCACCTGAAAGTGCGGTCTTGTACAAGTCACGCATCACTGAGCAAGCAAACTCATCAGCACGTGACAGTTCGTCATGGGATCTCACTATATACAGTCACTGCATCACATGGTAGGTAGTAATAGTATTGTTTGTACTCAATTATGTTTTGAACATTTAATTGATTGGTAATAAAATAGTGTTCATTATTAATAGTGTTCATAGTGACACAGACTGCAGTTATTTCAATTATTTTCATTCGTTAGGCTACCACAGCTAGGCTACAATCAATCGTTCTTGCCAAAACAGCAACAGATAATTATTATAAGCCTAGAAAGAATAGCAACTCCCTGGCCTTTTGGTCGTGTTTACGTTGGCCAGGCACACTCCTTTGGTAGGCAAAAGATTCGCCTCAGTATATGCCAATGCATGGGGAAAATACGAAAGCTAAATGGATGAAATTCACATTTTATGGCATGTTATTAGGAATTTTTTTTAAAAATATATAAAAAAAATCTAAGAAATTTAATATATTTTTTCTATTTCCCCTACTCAAAGATTTGTTGCAAGCTTGCGTACAAACCTAACATGCAAATGTTCATTACTACTAGAGCCGTGTTCACATGCATGATCGTTTCTTAAATATTGTTAGTGGACATGGCCCAGGGGTTGTTGTAAATAGAAAATTATTTTTAAAAGATTTACTTAAATTTCTTTATTATATTATTTATTTTTAATTTTAATTTTTTAAGAAACATGTCCTGAAAGTGTCCACTTAATAGGGGTTCTACTCTATTTGAAATGCTTACGAATATATATTGTTCATAATAAATATAAATAAACAGTATTTTCTTATTAGGGCAAGAAAAAATTTTTGCCCTCCTCCACCCGCCACTAACTAACTGAAAAAATAAGGGCGGAAAAACAAAAAAACTTTTTACCTTTTTCTTAAACAAATTTTAAAAAATGTGAATGAATTTATTTTTATTTTTTGCCAGATGTTCTACAAATTAGTGTTAAGTTGTTGTCTGATGTAAGAATTTGCCATTCTAGGCCTCTGTGGGTTATTTTTATTCCATCTGAGGAGAATTTAAAAAAAAAAATAAATTTAAAAAAAAGCTTTCTTCCCCCGCCCCTATTTATCATTTTTTTTAAAAGAAGGGTAAAAAACAATTTATTATATTTGGCCTTATTATATTTTTGTATATAATATAATGTTAATGAAGGTTTTTTTTTTCACGTTTCAGTTGGAAAAGTGTGAAATAATATGGAATAACTGAACATAATATTTATTTTCAGAATGTGTAGAATTTGATAAAGTGGTAATCCTTTGATCACAATGTTCCGAAGCATCTGCAGGGGACCAGTTCAAAGGTCATTCAGATATAGTCTCCTATCAAGATTAGATAGTACCAACCTAGCCTCCATAACCCAGCTCCATGTGTGTACTGCTAATAATAGAGGGTCAGAGTTTCCAGATTTGAATACGAGTGTTGATGTTCATAAGCACAAGTTGGAAAGACCAAAACCAACTCCAAAAATAACGAAGGATGAACTGAAAACACTAGAGAAAGATACGAAAGTAAATATCTTTACATGTCATTTTTTTTTTTTTTTTAAATTTAAATAAGAACCAGCAACAATGAGTAGAAGTCCCGTGTCTCCAGTGAGTCATACAAGATTCTCTGAAATGTGAACGGCCTCCTGCACACCTGTAAGGAAACAAAAGTCTCCCGGAAACTAACCCATCTCTCGCACATTAATTTTATACTATATAATAATATTATTACAATTAAAATCATTCTTTTTAAAATTATCATTATTTTAATTAAAACTTAGAATAAGATCTGATGGAAGCACTGTTTAACCCTTGCAATAGAAAATGTTAAAACAAATTGCCAAGTCATCTTAGTACAACAGAAATATTAAAATTATCATTGAAAAGCACTAATAAAACTATATCTAATTTTTTTATTATTACAATTAAAATCATTACAATTAAAACTAGACATAGATTTCTTGGAAATACAGCTTGACCCCTTCAATAAAAATGTTAAAACTAATCACCAGATCTTCTTTAGTACACATTTTCTACTACTATATTATTAATTGTCTCCTTATATTTTTTTTCCTTTTTTTTTTTTTTTTTTTTTTTTTTTTTTTTTTTATTTTTTTTTTTTTTTTTTTTTTTAAATTTAAATAAGAACCAGCAATGATGAGTAGAAGTCCCGTGTCTCCAGTGAGTCATACAAGATTCTCTGAAATGTGGACGGCCTCCTGCACACCCGTAAGGAAACAAAAGTTTCCCGGAAACTAACCCATCTCTCGCAAATTAATTTTATTTATCATGTCATATCATCATATCATTTATTTCCACCATTTCAAATTTACAATTATATGACTCAGCAGTTCCTGGAGGATTGCTCCAAAGAGGGTAATGCGTTATCTGTCAGGAAGCTCTCCAGTACCAACAGAAGAAACAAAAATATGTAACAGAAATATTAAAACAATTATTTGCAAAGTACTGAAAAACTATATATAAAATATAATAACTATATAATGATATTATTACAATTAAAATAATTCTTTTTAAAATTATCATTATTTTAATTAAAACTTAGAATAAAATCTGATGGAAGCACCCCTTGACCCTTTCAATAGAAAATGTTAAAACAAATTGCCAAGTCATCTTAGTACAACAGAAATATTAAAATTATCATTGAAAAGCATGAATAAAACTAATCACCAGATCTTCTTCAGTACACATTTTCTACTACTATATTATTAATTGTCTCCTCAAAGTCCTCTGGTGTTGGGTATTGCCATATGCAGCAAAGGGAAGTGGGGGGGGGGAGTTACCCCTCCCCATTATTTTTCAGATGTCACAAAAATGAATGGAAATAAGTTAATAGCAAAGTGAGTTACTTTAGATGTTAACAGCCAATATATGTTGTAGGTATACCAAGCAATATGCTCTGTTTCTAGTTTTGCACTTTGTATTATTATTATTATTATTATTAGAACAGTTCTATTTCTCAATGATTGTAACCAGCCAACTCACACATGAGCTTCCACTTTTTACATCTCATGCCTGTACTATTTCGCACATCATAACAATTTTATAACTAAAAATTTATAGGCCCATTATATCCTAAAGTGCATAAAAATGGAGTGCGTTCATTCAAGTGCGAATACAGGCCATATACATTTCTTTTAACGAAGCTATACAGACCGACAACTGTTAAATCAGTAGCAGTTCCATCAAAATCTTTTTTATAGAAGGTGCTCTATTTCATGATTTTTGCATAGAGGGCGCTATATACACATTTTAATTTTTTTGCCTCTTGCATCAGATGCCAACAAAGTTAGCAGGTATATTATTGTATGTTTCAGATTTATACTTCTTGCATATCATTTATGCTTGTTGTTTTTCCTTAGGGATCTCTTATTCCAGAAACATTAAAGCAAATGGAAAATGATGCAGACTTCCAGATGAACATGGAAAATCTGAAGAAATTGGGTCAGAAGAAACTTACGAAGGAAGAACGGATCAAACGGCAGCGAGCTTTAAACGACCTCGGTATTCCCAGTTTCCGGGATTTTGTCAAGTCAGCATCCACAGATTCAAATGGAGGTAGCTATTTATTCACGTCAATGGAATGGGGCAATTCCAGTCCAACAAACTTAACTTGTTTGTTAATATTTTGAAGATTCAGGGATGCATGTACTGAATGTAAATTTGCTGTACTTAGCAGGGGTATAACTAGGGCTTTTGGCACCCCAGGAAAGAATGAAATGACGCCAGTTTCCATCTCTGTTCTTTGTTCTAAGCTTGTTGTTAATTGATTAAAACACTACAACAATATCTTCGGAACTAGGAAGCCTAAAAATTGTTTGTCCAAACTGTTTTTGGCACCCCTTTAGTTTGGTACCCCTAACAAACTATTCAAACAATTTGTTTTCATTTGTTTATTGATTGATTGGTTTATTGAGTGATTAATTGAAAGTGAGTATGCGGGCAAATGAGAGGGTGAGCTTTCAGTTATTTGATTTATTGCTCATTTCAAAAGGTTTATAAAGAGTTAATGCATCACGGATTTATTGATAGCTTGATTAATTATCATTTATTGATTTATTGGACAATTACATGATCGATTGATTAATTAAATCAGTTATTAATTCATTTTTTTTTAATTGATTTTGATGCAGATTTATTAAAGCATTGACTGTTGGTGATTGTGTGATTGATTATTGATTACTGATTGATTTAGTTTTCCACTCAGTGACTGAGATAGAGAGTGACTGATTGGTTAAGTGTAGGTTCAGTTGATTGATTTATTTTTTCACTCAGTGATTGAGTATTAGAGAGTTACTGATTGGTTGATTGTCGGTTTGATTGTTTGATTGAAGAATTGGTTGGTTTAATGTATCAATTAATTTTCTCAACATTTTCTTTCCACATATGTAGATGAAATGAATAATTTTAAAAATTTCTATGAAACTCTTCTTAATCAAGATCTATACAGCTTACTGCGAAAAACACCGATAGAGATATTTCAGCTGAACATTGGTTTGTACTGTAATCAGGCTTGTAGCCATTGCCACGTGGAGTCGTCACCTAAGAGGAAAGAAATGATGAACCGACAAACAGCAGAGAAGTGTCTAGAAGTCCTTAGCAACAGCCCCTCCATTCACACGGTTGATATTACTGGTCAGTAGATCATAACAATCCATATTTTTACCTTTCATATTGGCGAGTTGATTGGCTGAGCGGTTAAGTCGAGCATCGTACCCTTCAGCTATAATATCGGCACTGGTTCAAAGGGCTCACTCGCTAATGGTTCCGGTGGTGGAACAAGTCTTCTCGGATAAGGACTTTAAACCGTAGGCCCAGTGTACGCATTTGTCTCATGTGCACTATAAAGAACCCAGTACATTCTTCGAAAAGAGTAGGGGGTTACCCCGGTGTATTGGTCCATTCAGTCCCCTGTCCTCTGCGGATATGCCACATAGGATAGTGATTAAGTTCACTTATTGGCATATCCTGAGCTCTCGTGCTTAAAGAAATAAAATGAAATGGAGTCATATATAATAATAAACTAAATACTTTTACTGATGATGATGATGGTGGATGGTGATAATGATGGTGATGATGGATGATAATGGATGATGATGTGGAAGCGTTTTGGCACAGCGGCAGCGGTTTGGTTTCCCAACAACGAGGTAAGGGTTTCAATCCCTCGCTGTGCATTTCGCTTGTGTCCTTGAGCAAGGCACTTCTATCTATGTTGCTTCTCTGCACCCAGGAGTATAAATGTGTACCTTGTGGGGTTGCCTGCCTCTGCACCAAGATGGACCCAATGACCAGGGAAAAGAAAAAAGCTTCGTACCTGTAAAGGAAGGCGCTATATAAATGACCAGATTAGATTAGATAATGGTGGTGGATGATTATGATGATGGTGGTGGTGGCGGCGGTGGCAGCGGCGGTGGCGGTGTGGATTGATGGATGATGATGATGGATAAATGGATAGATGAATGAGGTTGGATGATCATGATGGATGGTGATCATTATGGATGCGGATGATGATGTAATAAATGGTGATAAATCGTGTTTGAAGAATCTAAAAAAATGTTCCAAATTTATGGCCATCAAAAGAAAATAAGTTTTCCCAAACATTGATAATCCATAAGATTTCTTTGAATCCAAGGAAATTTCAATCTGTTTTGCAGGAGGTTGTGTACTCTCTTCAAACAGACTTGTATATTTGAAGGTTTGGATTTCTGCTAAATTCTATTCATTTTATGTGTTATTTGTCATGATGTTGTAAGTTTATATTTATTAATATTTAAATATGTACACCTTCATCATCCAAATATGGTAAAAATACAAAAAAATAAGAGATTTAATCACAAGTAAATCTAAGATATATACGATGTTATTCTATTTTGAAGGCGGTGCTCCAGAACTTTGCAGCGAATTTCGATTCCTCGCAAAAAGATCCAAAGAACTTGGCCTGAATGTGATTGACAGGTGCAACTTAACAGCGCTCCTTGAACCTGGCCAAGAAGACACTGCTCAATTCCTTGCGGATAATGAGATCATCGTCATTGCTTCTTTACCCTGTTACAGGTAATTAATGAGCATACTCTTGTGAAATATTATATTTTTATTTTATATTTTGTTTATATTTAGCTTTGGCCTTTTCCAAACCTTTTATCATAATAAATAAATTTTGTTATCATTGTTATTATTTCTTGATCCAAATATAATAATAAAACTTAAAATAAAAATAAGCCACTTCCTAATTCTGATTGAAAGTAATTATCCTAATTCAATCCATCCAATCAGAATTATGAACTTTTTAAGACTGGTGTAACAATAGCCACTGCATAAATTTTTTATTTTTTCACTTTCATTCATCCATGACTAAAATGCATCATTGTGAAATCGCCATCTTTAATTGGCTGAGATGCTTCCTTCGTGTACTAAATCTTATCCTTGTTTTATCCTCAGACTATCAAAACATTATTTGACAAAAACATGTGAAATACCTAAATATGGTCATGATGACATCGCATCATGACCATATATAGGCACATCATGACTATATATGGGCATGCAACAGTTTTTTTTTTGGTAATTTTTTCAGTGCTAAGAATGTAAACATACAACGAGGCGCTGGTGTGTTTAACAAGAGCATTCAAAGCCTTCTACTACTCAACAGCCTTGGGTACGGCAAACCAAGCTCACCCCTCCAACTCCACCTGGTCTACAATCCATTGGGTATGCATCAAGTTATCACAATCATTTTGTATATTTCACCTTCTTTGTTGTTATTTTTATTATTATTATTATCATACCATCATTCTTGTGATGGCTCTCTTTAACATTTTATTACATATTTATTAATAATATAATTGTTATTATAAATAATAATATAATTTATAGAAATGTACTGTAATAATAATAGCACAATAAGCATGTACACCAGAAAATGTTGGAAGCCAACATAAACTTGCTTAGCAAAGAAATTCATGTCACATCACCTCATTCTGTCTGATAGTGTACCCCTCTTATACACATCTAGATGTGTATAAGAGACAGCCATGTCAGTGCCTCTACATCACAGGTGGGCAAAGTGTGGCCAGACGGTAATTTTTTTACGGCCTGCTAACCATCTTTGTCTAGAAAACACCTTGTATTTTATGATAATCGGTAATACGTAATATTAAAACTGAGCATTTTAGTGGTGTAAGACAGTGAATGAAGGTTTTTGGAAACACAATGGAAACATCACTGTTTAGGTGCGGCCCTCTGTTTTAAATCAAAAATTCACTTTGGCCCTCCAACCCATTTTTATGCCCACCCCTGCTCTACATACTGTACAACACTTTTCTTGTTTGTTACATGTTATAGGCCTACAATTGTTGTAGGACAGATACAATTAATTTACTTTTTCTTCTTAATTAATTCCTAATTATTATTTTCTTGGGACTTGATCAAAAGGAGCATTTTTAGCTCCTTCACAAGCAGATCTTGAAGTAAAGTACAAGGAGGAATTGTGGGATAACTTTGGCATTGAATTCAACAACCTTTTCACAATCACCAATATGCCTGTTAAACGGTTTGCAGACTTCCTGTACAGAAGGTATGGTATCTAAATTATTGAAACACATAAAACATGGTTTTGCAATTTTACAATTACAGTCACGTCTGAAAAAATTATTAATATGTAATGGCTTCACAATCCCTCGGACTGCGGTTTCATATTTATCAACATTTTCATCCATGAAAACAGAACTATAGAGTTTTTAAGCTGAGTCTAAGTTATATCTGTCATGGCTTAACTGAATCGTTATCATATTTTAAATATTGAGATACAGTAGAACCCCTATTAAGGGAACACCTTCAGGACCAAAAAAAGTGTCCCCTTAATTATAGGGTATCACTATTAAGAGGACACTAACCAAAAATATTGGGATGTTTTTGTACCATGATGACATAGATTCTTTATAATTTTATTTTAATTTTTTTTCATCATTTATTTAAGTCAGTTTCCTTCCCTCTTCCAAGGGGTTACTGACTGTCACTCGTTCCATGCAGCTACACCATCTCTCCACTTCCTGTCTTGTGCATCATACTCCTCCAAACCAATTTTTGCACTTTCTTTCTTCACCACATCTTTCCACGTCACCTTTGGCCGCCCCCTTACTCTTCTACCTTCAACTTCCAGATGCCAGGCTCTCTTTACTGGATCACCTTCGTCTTTTCTTAGCACATGACCCATCCATCTCAAGCTACTCCTCATAACAACCTCCACAATTGTTTCACTTAGACCTAGACGTTCCATAAGCTCCTTTGTGTTCCTTCTTTCTGCCAGCTTAACACCACTTTTAATTGACCTAAGAATTAGTTATTTATAATAATTTGCAATGCAAAAAACAATTCGTTTACTGTATATGAAATCAACAGATATGTAATTGAAACTAAAAAAGTTGTACATGTTCCTTGATTCGAGTGCACTGTTAATCACCTGCCCCTGTACCCTGTTAAGGGTTCTTGGGCATGGGCTTTTTCTGCCCATAGAAAAAGGATCTACAGTATTAATCTATCAGATTAATCCATCAGCCAAGTGTTTCTAGAGATAAAAATAGGATTTTATGTACAGAGCTTTGATCTTTTTTTTTGTAAAGGTGCTATATAAATGCTTTATAATAATAATAATAATAATAATAATAATAATAATAATAATAATAATAATAATAATAATGTCACATAAATGAAACTCAAGAAAAAATAACGTTCCAATCCACAAAGACCTTCATTTCCTGTCCTTCATCGCTGCCTTGAGTCTGAGGCTGTGAGTCCAAGTCATATTTAAATAAATCCATAATGTACCTGAGATCTCCGCATTTTGAAATTATTTCCTCGCTGTTCTATATTTGAAAAGTTACTAAAATCTAGTTGGCTATAAGGAAGAAAGTTCTATTATTAACACATTAACCATATCAAATATTTATAGATAAATGTGTATTATATATTTTAAAAAATTCTTCTGTATGTTTTTTTTTTTTGTTTTTTACAGGTTAGTGGTTTAGAGAAAATTCACTCTGATGTTAGGGCTTACAGACGATTATTTTTTTTCTAGACAAGCCATAACCTGTCATTTTGTACTTCACTGCATTGTCATTTATAATTTTTGTATTTTATTGTTGATGTTTTGAATTTATAATAAATTTAAAATATATTCTATTTCTTCTTATTTTCAACACCATTTGTTTGAATTGTTTTAGAAATGAGCTGAAAGATTACATGCATCTACTGGTACGTAATTTCAACGGAAACAGCATGGAAGGACTGATGTGTCGGAATTACATCAACATTAACTGGGACGGAAAGCTATTTGATTGCGATTTCAACCAGCAATTGGACATGCCGATGAGAAAAGTGAAAAGTCAAGGTGGCCATTTCATTCTACTGAGATAATATACAGTTATACAGCTCTACATGCAACCACTCTCTGCTACCACTTCTCTGTGCTTCCACTTGCCTAAACCCTCTTTTGTTTCGTTTTGTGTCCAGGGGCCTAGCCTCAGCAGGGAGTTATGTCTTGAAGCTCCCTGGAGCTGAAACATTCTAGCATGTACGTGGTGAAAGGGTTTGGGAGGTGGATGGTTGGGTTTATCAGAAGGGTTCACTTTAGAAAATAAAGGTAGCAATGGTTTGACTGGAATTTGAAAAATAAACTGTCCCAAATTTACCTCTTTGCCTGATACTAAGCTATCTGTACTAATATAATGCTAATTTATTAAAATATTTGATAATGTAGTACGAATACCTTTTCTTTTCTGCACAGGTAATGCTTCACCAAATGAACATACCGGCAATAGAGGGCCTTCCATCTGGGACATCAACTCAACATCTGAAGTGGAGGATCTGAGAATAGTGACCGACAGTCATTGCTTCGGATGTACTGCTGGATTAGGATCTAGCTGTCAAGGAACTACTGTCTAATTTGATTGATTGATTGATTGGCAAAACTAACACAAATTGATTTTACAGTACTACACTGTGTTTGTAACTATGTTATATTTTATAGTTTCTTATGAATATCAAGAAGTATATTTTTGTATAATTATTGTAAATGAAAAATGTTTTACACCTGAATGCGACTTATCTGAGAGAAGTGCATACAGTAGTTGAGAGTGGCGTGATTATTGCAAATTTCGACTGATGTGTAGCGCAAGGACGATTTAGGGGTAGAATGAATTATGAGGCTCCAATATGCAAGTGTCAACAATGGAAGAGGGGATGGTATTTGAATGAATACCTCCCTACCTTAAAATATTTATTAATGTTAAGGCTAAAAATACCTATACTAATGGGATGCCATTGAGCCAGGAATTTGTATTCATGTATATAAATGTTGTCATGGGAGTACACATAAGTTAAAACTAAGGAAGTATATTTTATTAATTTATTAGTTTAGGGTGTTGGACTGTAATGTCAAGGCTCTGTAGTTGTGACGGTAGGACGTGTGGGTCGTAACGGTGTTCCTAGGTAATCCAGGTAGTTATAATTTGAGCGTGACGTGTGCATAATCGAGGGATGCCTTAGAAATACACCTGCCCTAATTCCATTTAATTAACAATAGTTCGGTGACGTTAATTTATGCAAACATGTGCGATGCGAGTTGCATTGTATAGGAAATACAGTTAAGTTGGTCACTGGACAGAAAGATCCCTTACCCGGCGGATCGGCACCATTTGTGCGGAAAGGCATAAGTTAGCCAATGCGGAATGGTACTGCGTGTTGTGCGAGATACAACCTGGTAGTCAGTAACGTTGTTCCCTGGTAGATTGGTGTTATACTCTTCATCGTGGTTTTATGAGTATGTTATCATGCTGAGGTGTTAATCTGTCCAGTCACCCACGTAATTGTATATATTTTAAACCCGTGAGTAGACTTTTGAATTTATAAACTATTGTCTTAGTAAAATGTGGAATAGGTTTAAAT